GCGACGCGAATCGGGCATGGACGGGGGGGGGAATGCATGGAAACTGGATATGGATGCGCCCTGGGTCCCCTGCAAAGCTTTCCTTAATACTGGGGCAGAGTGACTTTCGCGCCGCACGATGCGGGAGAATTCGCCATGGTCGAGACGCCACCCTGGAGGGTCCGAGAATGGCAGGCCAGCGCTGCGCATTGTGCTCCTGGCACGCGAACACCCGGGACCAGTGCGCAGCCAAGGTGCCGGCAGCGATATCGGGGCTCGGACACGGCGCGCCCCCTTCGCCCAGAACACCGCGGAGCCCCACGCGCCTCTTCGTCGACGCCCACCCCCTCTTCAGCGCAACCAGCCTCTTCCTCCGTCGATTCTTAACCTCCTCAACCTCACCGCAATGCTCGACGCCCCCACCCTCGCGATCAAACCACCGGAGCTTCAAGATAACAATGAGAGAGTGAAGCCCATCAGGATCAGCGCAAACTCCACGGTCGACATCGAAGCAGCGGTAGAGAGCACCATGGCAACGCAGCGCGCGGAGGCATACATGCCACCGCTGCCCTCTCCATCCCCGACATGCAACACAACCGGATCGGAGTCGCTCCGGGCCTGCCTGGAAGGGGGCCTTCGGTTTAAGTACCCTGTCATCTAAGTTACTCGGTGAGACAAACGTCTGTAGTTGTTCGCTGACCATCCGATGGTACTCCGCGCGCATGCTGCGCCATTTCGGAATCGAGAACAGCCTGGTAGTTGTCGGGGGCGCCAGGGAAAACGCAGCTGGAAGATGGCCCGAGGAAGCCCCAGGATGAGTCAGAGTACCAACAGCAGTCGATGCTACCTTCATCTCGTGCAAGGTGCCCGCTGGGAGGGAGGTGCACGCGCGGTCAAGCCTCGAGAAACTGCGGGGGGGGGGGGCCCTCCCCTGGCGCCCCTTCGGGCGGGGCCAGGCTGGTGCAGCTCGCACCGGCGACCGCGGATTCCCTGGAACGCATCGCACTGCGCGCGGCCCCCTGGGCCACAGGAACCGCCACCGACGAACCTGCCATCTTCCGTATGCACAAAATTCCAGCCCCCCATGATGATCGACATGCAATGAGCAGCAGGCGGCAGCGCGCGTTCAATTGCACGCGGGCACTGCTTGCACTCAAAAATGTCACCACAAGTGTTCGGCGCGCGCACGCTCACAGTCGCAAGGCCCCCCGCATCGCCCGTGCACATGACAGGCAATGCCCTGCCCTCGATCGCAGCGCGCCCCTTCACTTCCTGAAAGCACACTCGCAGCTCCAATGAGATAAGTGACGACCCCACCAGCAGCACTTCCCTCAATGAAGATACAAAACACTATACCTGCGCGAAGCTCATCGCGGAGAATCGCAAGGTCAGCCACATATCCACGGGCTTCCTGGAAACACGCTACCTGGTAACACTCAAGCATCGTCTTGGCACGACAATAGCGCGAACCCGCTCTCAGAGAGGCAGGCGATATAGAAGCAAAGAGAACGCGCGTTCCAAGCACAGAGAGACAGAGAACGGAGAGGTCGGTATACTCCACCCGCGGCCCCATCAATCGGAGGGGAACATTGCGACGCTGTGTCATACGAATGAGCACTAGTGCTGCAGTCTGAGGCCAGGGGCCCCGACGCAACATCAGAACCTGAAGCGTCTGGATTGCACCCCCCGTGGCCCTGGCTCTTCGAGTCTGTAGACACGGCGCGTGCTGTGCCCCATCCGATCTCTTCGAGGCCTTCGAGGTCAAAAAGACATGGTAGCACTTCCTGCACTAGGCCCGTCATCAGCAATCATGATATTGACAACCTGAACTGAAATCGGTCCGTTCTTCAGAACATAGGTGGCGCCCCCAGGCCCCGTGGAACCTGCGCGGTCATCCCCGAAGAGGTTAGCCACGCGCTGACGCACATTCGCAAGGTAGTAGAACAATGTCCGACATGTCTGGGGGGGTCTCGCCTGATCCTCTGCTCCAAATCATCGCCGCCCTCGGGGTTCGGGAACTTGAAGGGGCCCAGAGCAGCTGCTTTCGCATGGAAGGCCGATGCCAGGAGAGCGCGCGGGAAGTCCAGACATACCTTCTTGCTGCAATTGAACGCCTTGACCTGGATCCCAGAGCGCTCCTCCTGAGTGACGCATTTATCCAAAATCGGGCCAACCGCAAGCCGAAGGGTGTTCTCCATCAGTGCACGCTTGAAGCCAAGCACGACGAACCGAGATTGGTTGCCGATATCACCGGCTTCGACACGACGTCGAGTGAATCTCCCGTCTGGAGCGGTCTGCCGTACTCCCCTTTCACCTCCCCTATCTCATCCTTCATCATCTGGATCATCCCCTTCACATCCTCCATGATTTGCCCTCTGCGATCTCACGGTCCTGGATGGCCTGCTGGAGGGTTTGTTCTTGGATCGAGCGGATGCTCTCAAAGTTCTGCCGGATGGCCTTAGCCAGGTCTGCATGGGCGGACTGGAGCATCTGGAGGTTTTTCTCAGCCTGCAACACATGGCACTGGATACCCGAAATATGTCTGTTTTTCTCATGTATTCCGAGGTTCAACTGGGCCCCAAGGCTATCAACACTGCGAGAAAATTGGGAAACCAGCTCTCTCACGGCAACCATCATGCTGGAATCAACCTTTTCTTCCGTGCCTGGTGGCGTCGCGGGCGGCGAGGCAGCGGGGTCGGGGCCGAAAATTCTCTTTCTTCTGAACTAGCAATCTATACAGGGATGGGTTCATTCATCCCACTTGGTAAACCACCAGAGATTGGCCACGGCATCACTTGACGAACAGCCTCCATCTGGGAGGAGGAGGCCCGGGCGCGGGGGACGAGGAGAGCGGCCGTCCCAGGCAGGTGGAGCGCGGCCACGGCCGCCCTTGGTGCCTGGCCACCAGGCGCCTTGAGCCAAAATGGTTTGAGCCAAAACGGCGACGGAGGAGGAACAGGAGGAAAAAATGATACCGGAGAAAAACCCCGATCAGGGCTATAGGGCTAGGGTGTTATAGGGCAATAGGGCTATAGGGTTATAGGGCTAAAGAGCCATAGGGTATAGAGTTGTAGGGCTGTAGGGCTAGTGGGCTATAGGGTTATGGAGCTTAATGCTATAGGGATATAAGGCATCCCTGGGCACCCCCGGGCACGCCCGGGCACCCGGGCACCCGGGCACCAGGGCACCCTGGCAACCCTGGGCACCCCCCGGGCACCCGGGCCCCGGGCACCCCCAGGCACCCAGGCACCCGGGCGTGCAACGAAAATCGGCGACAGACCCAACCGAACCACTTGAATCCGCTAGGACCCCTACAGAGGCAAGCTCTGATTGAGGAAATACATAGAAAAAGGAAGAGGAGGAGGAGGAGGAGGAGGAGGAGGAGGAGGAGGAGGAGGAGGAGGCAAGTTTGCCACCGACGCCGGACCAAACTCAGCGCAGAACTCAACGCCGAGTCCGTCGGAGAGCCGGTCTGCCGTCGTTCGCCGAAGCGCATGCAGTCGATTGGCAGAGCGAGCCCCTGGGAGAGCTGGTTTGGTGGTGGTTGCCCCTCCCTGGACTGTCGATCTTGTCAGACCGAGCGAAATTACACCGAATAAATGTATATCGAGCGAATCTACACCCGAACGGGTCACACCCGCATGGCTTCAATTCGAGCGACATTGAACGAGCGAAGAAACCGAGCGAACGTAAACGAGCGAAAGAGAACAAAGAATTCAAACCCCAAGCGCATTTGAATCGAGCGAGTTTTCACCTAAACGAGATTATATACACCCACACGATTTCAAACCGAACGAAATTTCACAAGCGAAAAAAACAAGCGAAATGAAATAACAGCGACACCGAAGGGTGTTTCATGCGGCGCCCAGGCATCAACCGAGCAAGCTCGATCCGAGCGAATTTAAAGCCGAACGACGTTAAATTCGAGCGATTTGCTCAACTTTCCGAGCAAATTGTGGATTGTGGTCGGTCTGCCTGGCTGGAGGCGGCGTTCCCCGCGGCAACCGGGAATCGACCGCGCGGGAAAAAAAACAAGCGCAATTGAACCAGAGCAAAATTTGACGAGCGAAGGAAATCCGATCACAAAAAAAGAGCGAATCTAAACCGAGAAAAATAAACCCGAGCAGAATTTAACCCGAGCAAACTTTAAACCGAACAAATTCAAACCCGAGCGAATTTAAACCGAACGAAATTGAACTATCGAGATTAGACGAGCGAAATGAAACTCGAACGAAACAAAAGTGAATCGTTTGAACCCCGCCCTGGGCCCTCTCTGGTCATCGTCGCTGCGTCCCCGGCCTCGCCGCTGTGGCCGCTGCCAACGCCGCCGGCGCCGGCGCCCTGGGGGGGAGGCGGAGGGAGGGGGGTCCCCCACTTCTGATCGACGACGCCAAATGTTGGATCCCCCCCCCGCTTCGAAACGCGCCGCCGAATGTTCCCAAGGCAAGCGCCCGTGAAACGCGCTCTCTCATACGCAACACTCGGGGAGGCGATACAAAGTCGGGCCACGCGCGTCGCACCCCTGCGCAATACAGCACGGGGGACAACAGTGGAGGAGGAGAGAAAGAGCGGGAGGAAGAGGGGGTTGGGGGGGCAAGGAGGATTGCGAGGGAGGAGGGAGAAACGCTGGTACGAGCAACAGCGCCATGAGCTACATCTGTTCGGTTCGCGCGCGCTGCCGCTGCAGGTGAGTGGCGCCTGAGGAGGGAGGAGATTGGGCGACTGAGAACAGCGCTATGCGCTACGTGACGCTCCAGCGCCCTGCGCTCTGCGATGTAACAGCGCCGCGTGCTGACTGAGGTCAGCCACCCAGGGAGCAACGAGGTCCCGTCTTGTCTGCGCGTGGTCCCCGACTCCGCTGGACCTGAAGGAGCCCACGAAAAGGGCGACGATTGCGCAATCTGCGACCACCAAGTGAGCAGCGAGGTCCCGTCTGAAGCCAACACAGGAGGGTTGTGAAACAACCTAGTGCGATTGTTGTGCTCGATTCGCCAGAATTCTGGGAACCCGCCAGAAGGGTCCTGGCAAGGTCGTCGACGCTCTCGATGCCCGCTTCCTGTCTCGCCTTCTCCTGCTCGGTGGACGTCGACTACCCGCTTACCCGTTCTGGCCGGGCAGATCCTTGGCCCAGGATCGGTGCAATTATGCGCCCTCCTGGCTTGGCCAGGGCAGCGTATACACCATCTCTGAGGGGGAACGACAGCTCAGGCGGGGAAGCATCGACATGGAATTGGCGATACATCGCCGACGAATCGGCGATAGGCCCCTGATAGCGGATCCGCACTTTCCTGGTCGGTGTGGGCTGCCGGGTTCGCATCGGCAATCGATAGGGGGTCGTTGCATCCCCTCTGAGCCAATCCCCCCCTAATTAGCGTTGCCCCCTGGCTTTCGAGTCGTAACTCTGCTTTGTGGCGGCCGTTCGGGACGATCCGGGCACCCCCAGAACGCTTTCAACGAGGCGCAGCTGTTGGGGAGCACCCCGAGGATGGAAAGCCGCCTGAAACCGACAAAAACCGCCGAACACCTCCAACCTCGAAACGCACCCAGATACGCAATGTCTTGATTCTTTCAAGGTGCGGCCCCCCCTGAGCCCCCTGCCCCGGCCGCCCCCCTCCCCCTTAGGCAACGTCGCGATTGGTGCTGACGTGCGAAATGCCTTCGATTCTTCATAGGCGTTCCCAGAAAGCGCCGGCGCGAAACGTGACGTTGCTGGCCCCCGCCCTCCACATCCCCGGGCAAGCCCAATGCTCGCCTGGTGATCGACTGGGACCAAGAGCGCCCCCCTCGTGATCGGCCCGGCCAGGAACGGCGAGGCGGGCATGCGCTGACGCCCGCCCCGGATCCTGCTCGGCGGCCGCCCTCTCCTGCTTCGACGCCGTGCTGGCCGGAGAGGCGTCGTGCACACCGACGCCCTCGTCGACGTCCGCCTCGCCGTCGTCATCCCGGGTGCGCATGAACTCCGAGAGGGCCGACCACTTCGTGATGCCACCGGTGCTCGTGATGCCTCGCAGGGGGGCGCCCGCTGTGCGCACGCGCGCGCCGGCCCTGGCCAGGCCCAGCCTGGGCCCAGGATCGGTGCACTGCGCGCGCGCAGCCTCGCCTGGCCTGGACAGGCGCAGGCAAGTCGCCGCATGCGACGCCAGATCTTTCCGGGCGGCGATGGCGCAGCTGGCAGCGCGCAGGCCTCGTAATCCGGCGGGTGGTGAGCTCGGTCCTCACTCACCGCATCTGCGTGTGTGCACGGCGCCCTGATGCCGTGGCCCAGGAGGCACTGTGCACCAATCCTAGGGCCGAGGACGGGCCCGGCTGGGGCCAGTGCGCAGGTGGAGCTCCCAGCGCCCGGCCTCGGAGCTGGATGGCGTAGTCCGAGGCGCTGCGCAGCTGGTCCTCGGCTGGCATAAGGAAGGGGCCCAGCCCGCAACCCCCCGCGTTGGAACCTCGGCCGAGGGTTGGGCGTGATCCGCCCTCAGTGCCTAGAGGAGGTCTCGAACCGAAACTCAGGAAAACAGATACCGCAATCTGTCGATCGAGGTCGGGAGGGAGGATGCCGAGGCCGATTGTCTCACCTCCGCCGTCCAGCTTGACCACCCACCGGTTCTCTGGGGTGACCCTGACGGCAATCGTGTTCCTTCGGAGAACCAAGAATGAACGGCATAAACATAACCTTTGGGAGCTGCGCGCAGTTTTCTTGGATCGCTGCTGGGGCCCCCCTGGCGCCAGCGGGGCCCAAACAGCGGGGCCCCAACAGCGATCCAAGAAATCCGCGTGGAGCTCCGACAGTTTTTGTTCACGTTGTTTTTCGTTTCTCGATTCCTGTCGAACTTCAGAGGCTTCGAGGCGCGAGTCCACGTCCCTGGGGCGATGGCGGGAGGAAGCTGCCCCTTTGGAGCGGGAGGGCGGGGGGCTCACTCGGACGTTCCTGGCTTTTCTGCGGCCCTCGAGAATCAGGGCCGCGTAGACAGGGACGTCCATAAGCCAGGACACCAGCGCGCCCACGAAAGCTGCACCCGTGGGTCAAAACACTTTATCCGAGCTTCTTATTGTCCAGCTGGAATCCAAGAGTCCTGGCTGGCAAAGTCGTGGCTTCCGGTGCCCTCGAGCTCTGCTCAATGGGGTGCATAGACGGGGGGGGAGACACGTGCCCTTTTCGCGCCCGTTGGACCCCAGGGGTCCCTTTGGGGGGCCCCTTTAGAACATCCCCCCATGTACTCGCCATCGCTCGGACGTCCATTCTGTGCATGTTTCGGTTTCGCGCGTGTTGTAGTGTTTCGCAAGGTGAACAAAAATGCACCTCGATGGTCCGTGCCGAGAAAAATGCACACGTCCGAGCGATGCCAAGCGTATCGTCCCCCCATTGCGCAACGCGGGTGCCCGATCCTTCAGAGGCCTCCGAAGACCTCCGGAGACTTAATGAGGCCTCGGGGGACCTCGGGAGTCCTCAGGGGATCCGAAGGCATCCGACGCGGGAGTCCTGGGAGGTCTGGCGGGGGTCCAGATCCCCCCCCTCGGGACGCAGAAGGACGGACTAATACTACAGTCACCCTTTGCGAGCGAGACGCGGCCAGCGAAAGCGGCCAAGGATGGGCCGAGGAGGCAAGGCTGCAGGGGTACCCATGGGAAGGTTGCCCATCCTCGCTGTGCGGGTTGACTGTATGCGCCCCCACTTGGAGGCGCACGTCCGAACCGAAGATGCAGCTCAAGCGTATGCTACCATGTCATGGCCCAAGCGGTATGGCCAGAAAGCGGCCGCCAGCGAGCTTAGACTGTAAGAATTCTCGGCGCGCGGCGCGTCGCCCCCTGGGGGGGGGGGGGGGGGCGACGCACACACACACACACACACAGCGCAAGTGCGGTTGGGTGATGCCGATTCCAGCCTCCCCGCGCCCTGCCCTTCCAAGCTCCCTCCTCTAAGACCTCCGACGGTCGGCCTTTTCCAATGCGGGGACCCTGGAAGTCCCGAGCCTCGGGGCCCAAGCACGGCCCCCAGGGGCCGAAATCATTGGAGAGCGCAGGAAGTGGAAAGAGCTAACAAGAGCAACCACGAAAAGGTGGGGCCCCTCCCACAGACTCCCCTCCCTCTTTCTGTCCAAACCGCCGCCTGCAATTCGTTCGTGGCGTCGCGCCTGGGCACAGCAGGGAAGTCGCACCGCAAAAAGAGAAGAGAAAAGACAGGACGAGAAGAGAAGAGAAGATGAGAGGAATGAGGAGGACACAGAGGAGGCAGAGGAGGAGGAGGAGGAGGAGGAGGAGGAGGAGGATGTCTTCGGAATTGCCCAGAGGCCTCTGAAGATCCCGCGGAGGGCCCCAGTAGCCTCCAGTAGCGCAAGCCATGACTCCAAATCCACCATATGCTCACGATGTTGCAGATATGGCGGGAACTCCCGCCCTACGCTTCAAACTCCTGTGATACTGAATGTCACCCATGCTTTGCTTGTTTGTTCCACCCTGCGTCACGTTGTGGCGTCCGTCCGTTCTGCTCTAGTATGCCGGCAATGTCTGCCCTACTTGTCGTACGCCTGGGACGCATATCCACCACATGTTTAGATTGGAAGCTCCATTCTACTAGGGCAGATCTGGAGTCAAGGATTTTGATAAATTCAAGAACAAATAACCGATTCAGAACCAAATAAAAACCACGGGTCACCAACCACGTGGAGAGAGCCGCGATAACAAGGCTCGTGCAGCACCGCCAGCAGGATATTCAAGGGGTCAGCTACCCCGACTGCACGCGGCGCAATCAGAGGAGCTCAACCCTCTTGAGACAAACCTCGGCGCCGAGAGAGCACCCGCGGCCGCCGCAGTACGGCGGAGGCCAAAAAAACACCACGCGCCCGAGCGCCAAGGAGCGACCTCGGGAGGGGAAGCGGCGGGACGAAGGAGGAGGAGGAGGAGGAGGAAGAGGATCCGAGGAGGACGAAGAGGTAGCGGACAAGAAAGAGGAGGAGGCGGAGGAGGAGGAAGTAGAAGGAGGCAACACGGCTCTGACAACGACGCACACCGCCGCTGCACCGCCCCAAGCCCCCCGCCTGCTTCATCAGGTCGGGAGCATCGGAATCCTTTCGCCCCCGTGCGGTGCACGCAGAACGAATAGGAGCGGCAGCCCAGAACCAGTCCCGCTTCCCCCCTTGCCGAAGGGGGCCCGGGTGATACTCAACCTCGATCCTCGATGAACGAGGGGGAGAGGAGAAAGAGGCAGAAGAGCAGAGACAGCGCAGGACGAAACAGATGCTGCTGCGCTGCTCCAGTGAAGGGGGGAAGGGGAGGAGGAAGAGGAATAGGAAGACAAAAAAGAAGAGAAATAGGAGGCATCCGCTCGCGAGCTCCTCCCCCCTGCTCCGGAGCCCCCGTAGGCTACATCTTATGCCGAACAGTAGTGCGGAACAGTAGGCGCACGCATAGGTAACAACCAGATGGCGTCGCATACGCACTGTCTGAGCTAATCGCGAGATCAATGGCACGTAACCTTGCATCTGCCCCGTCTTAGTCCGCTACTTGTGCGGGGTTCGCGCCGTTGGGCGGGGGGGGCAAACCACATGGCACTCGCGGCGGGGCGCGTGCCATCTGATTGTGAGCCACTCGAGCCCAGCAGCCGCCGCCGCCGCCGCCGGGACCAGGATGAAGTCCTGGCCCTCGCCACGAATCTCCATCCCCAGCATCTGGCTCGGAAGAATATGGAGCCAAATGAACCTGGAGTCAAAACGGCTACTGAAGGGCGACCCTAGTGACCTCTGGTGCGCGGCTTACTGATCGTTGCATGCGACTCGACAGCCGCGGTCTGCGCCCTTGGGGTCTCCCCAAGCAGATGGCACACCATGGCCGCAATGGAAACCGTTTCTGTAATCCCATGGTACCCCCCGCCAGGTCCTCCATCGTACATCGCTGGAGGACTTGGGATGGCCTTTGGCAGGATGTCTCGCAAAATGGCTTTGAAATCGCCCTGGCTCGATCCGCCAGTCTGCCCCTGTGGCCCGCGAAGTGGAGTGTCCCCGGGTCCCTTGCTCAATCCTTGAGCCTCAATCTTCAATCCTGGGGATTCTTTCAGGGGCCTGGACCCCTAATTCTGAAACTTCTGAGTGAGGGGGCTTCCCGCGTGCCCTCTGGGGGGCGTGGCGGCTTGTCGCATGTCTTCTGGGGAGCCAAGACGGCACCAAGACGGGCCAAGAGACCCCCAACAGGCTGCCCAGACGGTCAAAGGGTTCCGCGGATCGCTGCACGATCGGTCCAAGACGCTCAAGGTGACTCCAATATTCGATGGCCGAACAAGCCTTCGAGACGCCCCAAGAGAGCCCCAAGAGCCTTCCAAAGAGGTCCCATGAGTCCAAGATCATTGAGTACCAAAGCTTTTCTATGTTTGGGGGTTCTCGATGTTTCGAGCTTCCGACGCTCCAAAATGGTCCAAGGCTCCCAAGACCGCCCCAAGCCAAGCCAGGCAAGATGGCCACAAGAGAGTCCAAGATAACCCCAAACTGGTCTCCAAGACAGTCCCGGGATGCCTCCAATACCACCAAGATCGTCCAAGAGAGCCCAAGACGGCCCAAGAAGCGCCCAAGAGGCCCCGAAGACGGCCCAAGACGACTCCAAGACGCCTCCAAGAGGTCCTCCAGACGGTCCGAAGAAGCCAAAATCATTGATTATACGTAGGTTGTTGAAGGATGTTGGCATTTGCTTCAAAACTGCCTTCCGACGACCCAAGAGGTCGCCATGATTGCCCTGAGATCGCCCAAAATGCCTCCAAGATGGCCCCAGGACGGCCCAAGAGGCCCCCAAGGCGGCTCCCAAAAGGTCCCAAGACGGCCCAAGAGGCCTCCAAGCCACCCAAGATGGCCTTCAAGACGACTCAGAAGCGCCCCAAGAAGGCCTTGAAGCGTTCCAAAAACGCCCCAAGACGGCCCAGAGAGGCTCCCAAAACAGCGTCCGACGGCATCAGACGGCCCAGGAACGCCGTAAGATTGCCAACAGGCCAGCAAGAAGCCCCCAAAGGCCCCAAAGAGGCCCAAGGAGGCCCCCAAGAGGCCTCGAAGAGGCCCCCAAGAAGCTCCCAGGAGGCCCCAAGAATGACCCAAAGCTCCTGAGAGGTTTCCTTCTCCTCCTCCTCCTCCTCCTCTTCCTCCTCCTTCTCCTCCTCCTCCTCCTCTTCCGTCTTCCCTCTCCTTATGCGCCTCTTCCTCCCCCACGTGTTCCCCGCATGGCTTCCACAACGGCTGGGAGAACGCATGGTCCTGCAGCGTGGCCAAACTTTGCCTGAGAGTTTGGCCACGTAGGCGTATCCTGAAAGGCACGGGGCGGCGGTGATTCGCCGTAGGCGTCTTCGATAGGATGACACGACAAACAATGGCCGAAGGGTAGCGCACAATTTGGGCCGCGCTGCTGCGGGCACGAAGAGTTGGCACACCCGATGGGTGTTGTTCGTTAGCGCCTACTGCTAAGTGTCTGGCTCACTCCACCAAACCCGTTGCTTTCACTGCGCGGTCTGGGTTCCGTCTGGAGGCGCGCCAGCGAGGGAGGAGGACCGAGCAGCGCCCAAGGACGCGGAGGAAGATGAGGATTGGCTTTGACGTGGGTAAAGGCCAGCGCTGACTCACTCTCAGACTACAATCGCGCAAAGCGACGAGGGGACCAAGCGAAGGCCCGAAAAGACGCACGGGGCGAAACTCAAACAAAAGAGAGACAGCGCGCGTTTCACGGGCGCGCTCCTTGGGAACATTCGGCGGCGCGTTTCACACGGGGGGGGGGGGGGGGCACACACACTCGGCGCCGTCGATCAGAACCAGGGGGAGGGGGGTCCACTTCCACCCCCCCCCTTTCCAATCGACCACAGAACGCGCTCTTTCAAAGAAAGACACCCGAGCAGAGGGACCGACCGAGGAGCAAACGAGGCCCGAAAGCCACGCAGGGACAGTAAAGCAATCAAGCAGTGCGAGGCAGCGGGCGCTGCCATCAGCAGCAGGCTCGGGCAGCACAGGCTGCCCGTGCTGGTGAAGTCCCCTGGAACAGGCGAGAGGCAAGGCGATAGTGAGAGCGAGCCCTGGTGAGGCGTATCAGGTGATAGCCCATATCTGAAGCAACCCTGCGGACCTGGCGCCAGATGGCGTAGTGCAAGGCCCACCCATGAGTGGGCGTTTCGAAACCGAACTTCCATGCATATACAACTTCCTGACAGCCGGCGATGTACTCATACACAGGACTGGGGGCAAGCAGGCGTGAGATATAACAGAAACGCATACAGCTCAGCCCCTGGAGCATCTTCAACGATGAGGGCGAAAACATCATATGCAGAGGCGGCCCCCCTCGCCCCCGACAGGGCACACACACACCATCCTGCCAGACGAATCAAGGAAGAAGGACCACATACTCCCCAGCCGCCTCCGTACGCTGGCCACGCGAACCTAGCGCCGTCGCGGGCACACGCCTAGCCAGGATCAGGAAAGGGCGGTGCAACAAACGCAGCAAGACGGGGGTCAAGCCCTAAAGCCGTGGTCCATTCCGTGGAGAGGAGGAGGAAGAGGAGGAGGACGAGGAAGACAAGGAAGAGGAGGAGGAAGAGGAGGGGAAAGAGGATAGGACGAGAAGAATCTATTGACACAGTGTGCTATTGATACGTTCCGGAGATCCCGGGATTTCTAACAGCCTTCGCGCGGGGTACACTTTGCGTCGAGTATTGTCTACTCTGGCTGGCGTCGCTGGTCGGTCACCCATTCGCAATCGAGTGGTCGCCCGTACGGGGCTACTTGGCAGTTGCTGCCCCCCCTTTTCGTTGCCAAGCGCGGGGGGGACGGCGGCGCACCGTCCCATCGCCCGCCGCCGCGCACCGCGCGCCTCGGCGGATCCCCAAAGACCTGGCAAGGCAAATCATGCGCGACTCTGGAAAATTCTCCGGGGGTAAACTTGAACAAATCCGGGAACATGTTTGAACATGTCTGGCGTACTTTTCGAAAAATGTCAGAACCGTTTTTGAACATTTCCGGGATCGATTTTGAAAAAATCCGGAATCCATGTTTAAAAACTCCGGATTTCAGGATTATTCAGATGTCCTGCGCGGCGGGCGCATTCCCCCCCTCAAAACTGTTTTTTTTTGTTTCCGGAAACGCTTGCGCGAAAAAAAGCGGAAACATTTGCTGACACATTCTATAATCAGGGACTAATGTCCGGGCGGTCCGACGGGCGCGGCCGGCTGATGCACGCGCCACGCCGCGCGCGATTGGGCGCAGCGCGCGCCGCGCGTTGCGCCCGCGAACAGCACTCGAAGGGGCAACCTCGAAAACAGCGCCACGGCAGCTGCGACTCGCGGACCCCCCAAGAGCAACACAGCATGCAGCTTGGAATCTTCGAGGGCGCTCCGATGCGCGAAAAAATGCACCGCGAACATCACGCGAAGAACCTGCGCGACGGAACGCGCTCGACCATTCGTCCCTGAAGCCCGCGCGGAAGAACAGGAAAACCTGGACATGTGGAAAACTATCAATATCAATACTTCATGCTCCTCTGAGAGGAAGCAACCGCCCGTGCGGCCCTCACCCACGATCTGGACCCCCGCTGGCTAGACCAACTGCTCTCACTGCGCGGTCCGGGTGCGTCCAGAGGCGCGCCAGAAGGGAGGAGGGTAGCGCGAGAAGAGAGGCACAAACGACGTCGCCGAAGGCACCGTCGTCGTCTTCTTGGAGGTCTTCGGGTGAGTCTTCAGGACAGCGTCGCCACGGTCGGATGCAGGTCGAGACACCGGCAGGAATTGGCCGCGGGAGGGGTCCTGGGGACCCGCCCAGACCGGCTCTTCGTCGTGGGTCGTGCGAGGGAGAGGCGGGAGGGGGGCGACCTTCTCGAGAACGCAGAGGAAACGGACGAAGGGATCGGAGGTCTCGAAGACTTGAAGAAGGCCTCCAGGAGTCTTCGATGGCAACAGGGCCTCAAGCATGCCCCCTGCCAGCTCAGGAGGCCCCCCCACTTGCCCCGCCCGCCGGTCAAAATCCGCTCCAGGCCGCTTCCTGGATCCCTCTTGGGGTCCATCTGGTCCAGCTAATATGCCGAGAACCATTCGTCGATCCTCAATGAGCCCTTGAAACGACAGAGTAATGTTTGTTACCGTTTCGTTTGTCCACTTCATATAAATTCCAGCGTCATTGTCTTTGGACGCTTCCAGCGCCGTTGTTTGCGATGTTCGCTTCCCCTGGCAGAAACCTGGTCCAACTCACTGCTTCTGTTACCTGATCCGAACCGTTTACGAACCACTTCCGAACGTCCTTCGGATCCCCAGACTGCCCAGGCAATTTCGGTGACCAATTCTTACTGTTTCGGTGAACCGTTTTGTTTCGCTCTCAGAATTAGAAACCATTTTGTTCAAAAAAACGGCCCTGCGATTTCCAGACCACTAGGTTCGGGCCAGCACCCAGCGGGACATGACGGCGACCGTTCCGGTCGGCGCGGCTCGCGCTGGCCGCTCCGGGGCGGCCGCGACCGGCGTGGCCTCGTAGGCGGTGACGCGCCTGTCCTCGACGCCGTCGAACGAGAAGGTCAGCGCGTGCGAAGTCGCGTACACCAGCTCCTGGGCGGGGGGATCCGAGATCTTACCTTGAGAAGCAATTACCCCCCCTCCACCACTTCGGGAATCGATGTATTGACTATAGTGCTACTGATAACGCTGGGAGGGGATCGATAATTGCTTACATCTGCTTCATTATCACGGTTGGGTGTGGACGTCGCTGGTCCTCCTTAACATCTTCGGCCCCTTCAGAACTCCATCGGCATCCGGGGAACCCCTGAGATCTCTGGAGGTCTCCTCCAACCCAGACCTGTGCCAGCTCGAAGAAGTTGCAGAAGAATGCCCCGAAGAGCTTTTGACATGGGCCAAAGAACGGGACGGAGAGCTTACGGGGACCAAGATATAACCTTCCACAGTCGAGTACACCGAAGTACACTTGGTGCAACCACGGGAGACCACTTGAATCCACGGGAGACCACGTCACACCAAGGCGCCCGACGGATTTCAGACCTGGCGATCCCCGCACTCGGTTTATCAAAATGGCAATGTGGACCATTGCAGAGAGGCTGTTTGAAGAAACACTGAAAGAGATGAAATGCTGAGACTCAGAGTTCTCAGACTTACTGATTCGAACACCAGTACTAAGACAAGTACGAATGCCCAGCTTGCACTTAGGGTGTCGTGCTGTGCTTCTTGAGAAACCTGGATAAAATGCGGAATCTGCCGAAAAAAGGCAAGGAGGCCGAAACTGGCCTAGGTGAATCCCAGTTGGACTCGTTCGCCCTTCTTTTGCCAGTCGACAGTTAGCGGTGCAAGGATGTGCTGCAGAAGAGCGTTGAAGAGTAGGGAACTGAGCGGGTCGCCCTGCATCGTGCCCCGCAAACACTGCAGGGCCTGCTGCTGACGTCAGTCCTGACTGTGGCCGTCTGGACCACGTACAACTGCTGGAGTAGTGTGAGGTATCTTTGCTGGACTCCTTGCGCCCTGAGTGCTGCCCACACGCTGTTGTGCTCGATGGTGTCAAACGCCTTGTTTAACATCGAGTGCTGCGACCCATAAGTTATTGTTCCAGTCGTGCGCGCGCTCTCGCAGGATAAGACATAGTAGGACAAGTAGCAATACTAACACTTGCGCGAAACGATACATAAAACGTACCAATACAAATGCGACTGCCACAAGAACGAATGGGAGTAATTACGATTACGAATGTGAAAGCAACTTCGAATAAGAAAGGGATAGGGATGTAGGGCTAAGCATTCAAAGATAGGGGTAGGGACTGGGACATTGGACAAAGATAAACAATGAGGATAGCAATAAAGGGCTAGGGACGGAGACAACGGGCGACAACGGGAGACAAAGGGAGACAACGGGAAGCACTGGGAGACAAAGGAAGGCAATGGGAGACAACGGGAAACAACGGAAGGCAACAAGAGACAACAAGAAGACTACGGGATGCAACGGGAGACCATCGGCGCCCGACCGATTCCAGGTCCGTGTCCGCCCGCACTCGGTTTTCCAGAAGCAACAGATTCCACAAACAGTGTTTGCACTCAGTGGTCCATAACTCTCTTCTGAGGAACTGGGCCCGTCTGCGGGCCAAGCAGCCCCCGTGTTTCCAGATAAACGGCCCGCCTGCGGGCCAGGCGGGCCCGTTCCCGTCCGTCGCCGCCGCCCCCCTGTAGTTCGCACCACATAGCTTGCACCCTATAGCTTGCCCAACATAGCTTTCACACAGTTTGCACCTTGTAGATTGCAAAGCATGGCTTGCACCACCTAGCTTGTACCACATAGCTTGCCCCACATAGCTTGCACCACGTGAACTACACCAAGCAGATTGAACCACACAGCTTGCACCACACAGTCTGCACCACATGGCTTCCACCACTTTGGTTGCACAACATAACTTGCAAATCCACATCAATACCTCTCGATGGCTATCACAGGACCCTGACAAACAAGCTGCTGAGGGAGCACACAATAAGACCCTTACAGACAAGCTGTTGAAAGAAAATCGCGCTCGGATCTTGTTCGCGATCTTCGGCCTCTGGAGCCGCTTCCATGCCCCAGGACTGGATCACGAAGCCGCGGGATGAAAGACCATCCCGCGGGCAAGGTACCGAGATCTCCAGGGGACGGCGACCCGAAAAAGCTGCTGTCAGAGGTATGTGATGTCAATTGCCGCCTGGGAACGCGACGACTGCTGCGACGATGCTTACAAATGAAAGGTTAACCATTGGAAGCTCAACGATTGGGAGCACGTCATGCGACTGAGCGCGCGCTGTCGACAAGCTGCTGGATGCTTCTCCTAATCAAGACGCATCGCCGATGTATCGGTGATGCCGCGATGCCGAGCGATCCTGCGGCCCCACCTGATTGCTGCGACCCCATTCGAGCGGCCTGGTTCTTCTCCTTCCCTGGGGAAAGAGAAAACGATGACCACGGCCAAGACTGAATGAGGAAACGTCGGTGTCGATATTGGTCATCGTCCATCCTAACCATCACTAATTCGCAGGTCATCCTAGCGAATCAAGCACGGCCCGTATGGATCATGTCCAGGATCGGCGCCGCCCCGATCCTGCAACATCTTGGCCATGGCAATCCCCTGAGATCCAACGACGCGAATAAAATGTAACATCGTGAAATATCACGACCAGAACCCAGACCCCATGTTCCTGCTGCATTGTTTTCGAGCTGGATCGATCTGTGAGTGACCCCAGGTCCGAAATTTTGCGAAAACGCCCCGCTCGAAAAAATGCGACGCCGAGATCTCAAAGTCGTGTTTTTTCCCTCCACTTCCCCCCCAGGCTCTCCGGCTTCTCCGGGGGCTCGGCCACGATCGCGGTGCAAATGGGCTGGTCGCCCACCTCGGGTAGGACGAAACGGGGGGATAGATAGTACAGGGGGGGCGAGCGAATCAGCTCACGCAACTGGTTTGCTCGTCGCCTCTCGGCGCCGGAGGGGCGCCAATGTATCGAGGCAAGCGGCCAGCGGCCGCGCCGAAAACAGCTGCATGCCTCGGATTTCGCTCGCACCCTCCCTTTCCCTGAAGATCCCCCATTTTTTGAACATCGTTCAACCGGTCTCCATCCCCGCAGACGTGGCCTGGGACCCAGTCAGGGACCGACTCCCCCCTTCAGATGAAGAGATGGGCCGATCCCGTGGGGTTTCGAGGGGCACATCCCCAACTGGGGTGGTGGGATTGCGGGGATCGGGATGGAGATAGGGACTGGCTTGAACCATACTGCTTTTCGACCCGCCCACCCGGAGCCACTCGCCTGCGCCGCACGCGCTGTGGGCACGCACCTGGGGGTCGCCGCCGGCGCGTGCCGCTGGCGCCGCGTGCGGGGGCCCGCTGGACCAGGGCGGCAGGGCCGCCGCCGCCCCGCCCGCTCTGGGGCCTCCCCGAAGGCGTTGGCGTTGCTTGGTGGGGGGACCTCCTCCTCCTCCTCCCTCCCTCCCTCCCTCCCTCCCTCCCTCCCTCCCTCCCCCTCCTCCCCTCCTCCCTCCCTCCTCCTCCTCCTCCTCCTCCTCCTCCCCCCTCCCTCCCTCCTCCTCCTCCTCCCTCCTCCTGGATTCCGCGTCCCGGATCCCGCGGGTCGGGCCCTGGGCCCCAGGCCCCGGGCACTGGGGTCGCGGGTCCGCCTCTCGGGGCTCTTGTCAGGGCTTGGGGGCGAAAAAAACGCGCACCCGTCGTGCATTTTTTAGGCCACAGTATCGGATGCGCGCATCCTCAATGGATTAGCCATCCATGGATTTGGCGCCTCCCCAAAATTTTGCCGGTGTCGCCTCGTTCGGCGGCGGAAATTCGCGATTTCTCATGGAAAAGGACCCCCCCGCTAATCCACGCCCCCTTCATCCATGTTTGCGATCGCCTGACACTACTCGAAAGCAAAGCTGCCCTCTCCCCCCGCCCGCCCAAGAGGCGCCGAGTACCAAAAGAACTGCGAAACCCAACGCTGCCCCGAAAACCAAAAAAGACAGACAAATCAAAGAGCGCGGCAATGCGCTGGATTGCGGAAGCCCATGGGAGCACGATAAGCGAAAGAAGCGCCACCGAAAACACCAAAAACGGAACGAGCGCCAGAAACCAGAAGGGCGCCGAAAACCAAGAAAGCGCCGAAGACCAAAGACGCGCCGGAAACCAAAAGTGCGCCGCCAACCAACAGGTCGCCACACGCAAAGGATGCGCAAAAGAACAATGGCGCGCCGAAAACCAAACGAGCTGCAAAAACCAAAAGAACGCCGTAAACCAAAAGCACACCGAGAACCCAAATGGCTCGAAAATCCAAAAGGACCGAAAGCTAAAGGAGCGGCGAAAACCAAGAAGGCGCCGAAATCCAAAAGAGCGCCGAAAAACAACGAATCATCAACGCGCCGAAAACCAAAAGAGCGACGACAACCACAGCGGCGACGCAAACCAAAGGGACGTCGAAAACAAAATGTGCTCCGACAACCGACTGGGCGTCGAAAACCAACAGAGCGCCGCAGACACAAAGAGCGCCGAAAACAAAGAGTCGGCGAAAATCAAAGACACCCGAACAAACTATGACGGCGCGGAAAACGAACTGCGTGCCCCAGATAATCACAGGGGGGGATTAGAAAATTCGAGGCCGCGGGGGGATAATGAACAATGTGTGCCGGCAAGGGCAAGTCGTGCGTGGGATGCATGACCAGGAACAAGGAGGTCGTCGTTGTCGTCGTACGAAGAACGACGACGACGACGACCTAGTCCTGCCACTCAAATCGCAAGGAGGGGAAGGGAAAGGAGAGAGAAGGGGAAGGAAGAAGGAGGGGTGAGAGAGGAGAGAGGCCCCAGGACAAATTTTCCCCCAACAATCGGTTTCGGGACATAGCACTTATTGTGTAAAACACACTGTTCCCAACCATCCTGTGGTGTTGGGTCCTCGTTTTGAAGAGAAAGCGCCCCGCGTCTCCTCCTTCTCCTCCTGCCTCCTCCTCCTCCCCCTTCTCCCCCTCCTTCCTTTGGCTCTCCGCATGTCTCTGTTTCAGCACACCCCTCACACGCTTCGTGGCCAAATAGGGAGCTCCACCTAAGGTCCCACTGGCGCAGCTCGCGCCGCCCCATTCTGACACACCCCTCACAAGTTTCGTGGCCCCATAGGGAGCTCCACCTAAGGTCCCAGTGGCGCAGCTCGCATGGCGCCGCCGCCCCATTTTGGCAAACCCCTCTCACGCTTCGTGGCCCCATAGATAGTTCCGCCTAAGGTCCCAGTGGCGCAGTTCGCATGGCGCTGCGCCCCATTTGGGGCACACTCCTCACACGTTGGCCCCATAGGGAGCTCCACCAAAGGCCCAAGCGGCGCAGTTCGCATGGCGCCGCCACCCCTCACATGCTTCGTGGCCCCATAGGGAGCTCCACCGAATGCCCCAATGTCAGGGTTCGCATGGCGGCGCCGCCCCATTATGGCACATCCCTCACACGCTTCGTGGGCCCATACGGAGCTCCACCTGATGCCGCACAGTTCACGTGTGGGTGTCAACTGCGCTACTCACAACTGCATATGGTTGGGTCCTTCGCCTGGATACGTTTGCCGTTATCTAGGAGCTCATGGTGGCCTGGTGATATGTATATATATAACATAGAATGTACATACTATGTAATATATCCATTAAACTTGTAGCAACAAACGACGGGGGGAAAAAGATCGGGGGGAGACGAGGGGAAAGAGAATGAAAAAGTAGTAGCAGTAGCCGTAGTAGCCGTAGTAGTAGTAGTAGTCCTAGCAGCAAGGTTAGAAGAAGTAGTAGTAGCAGCACTAGCAATAATAACAGTATTAGTCGT